GGGGGGGGGTGTCTAGAGTTTAATCAGAGTTTCAAAGAGAGAATAAAAATTCAGAGACCACAACAAACCAAAGAGAGTAAAAATAGGCTCCATATAACCTGATACTGGCCACAGAAGAGATCCAATTCAAACATGGCAATTTTAAGTTGCTCAAACAAGATAGTAGCTTTGATAAAAGCTGCAAACAGCTGATTTAGTCGATTTAATGAAAATATGTATTTTTTTTTTACCTCCTAAACAGCTGCAGCATAGTTTTTTGAATGCCAGAAAATAATTATTTTTTTAAACTCTTGTAACATTTCGAAATTTTCAGTTATATTTTCTGACACAGCAACAAAAATCCACATGGTGTGGAAAAAACACATGCTTTGTCTTCCTTAGAACACATCATTAACCTCACACATATAAACATAAATGTGCACCCCCCCCCCCCACACACACACACACACACAGTCCCACCAGGACTTAAGGCCCATATGTGCAGCTGTGAGCCCCAGCTGAAAGAGGAGCCACAGAGTGAGATGGATGACATGCAGTGTTCTTTTCTGGTTGCCATCTGTAAGGCCAGAGACCACACCAGAATCACATAGTTTCTCACTCTTCTAAAGCTGTCTCTCTGTAAGGTTTACAACATGCCAAAGCCCAGCTGCGTGTTCTGTCAGTTAGCATAGAGATGCACTGTACTCCAGGGAAACCGGCCATAAATAGATTTCATTATCTGTGAAAACTAGTCAAGAGAGAGAAAAGAGAGAGAGACAGGCCTGCTCACATGCAGGAAAAGTTTTTAAGTGCTTGAAAAAAATGAACAACAATACACGTGAAGATTCAGAATTTAAGTGGAACCGAAAAATTCCGGTTTTTACCTGCAAACTGAGCGCAATCTGACGGATGTACATCATGTTAAGGTCCTCCAGTATCCAAAGTTTTTCCTCCATGTTCGCGTATTTATCATTGGGCATGTTTTAGGCAGGTAGCTGCAAGTTCACTTGTTCTTGTTGAAGCTGAAGTGACAGAGTTCAGACCTCTACCCAACAGAAGCCGCTGACAGAAAGTTCATTTTAACCGTTTTAATGACGTCTCCACTCGTTCGATCTGTGCGTAAAAGCGACGCGCAAAACAACTCTCCATCCAAAAACAAGAAGCCGACTGAGGTGAAGAGACTGACAGCAGCAGTGACTGCACTGGAGTATCCCCTCAGCTACTCCTTCAACTTGTTCCCGGAGCTGCTGCTGCTTGCTTCTCTACTTTTTCTGACAACAAAGATCCTCACAAACACCCACAGTCAACACCCAGCGGCGGCACGAGGAGAATGGAGCCCTTTAAAAGGGAGAAAAATCAGTTCTTCTTTGTTTCCCGACTGTAAATGCCGTGTGTCCTCTGTGACAAGACAACCTCTCCACAAAAGGGCATCGCCTCTGCTCTGCCGGAGCCGATCAGGACAAGCACTTCACTGTGTGCGCCTTGACGCGCGCCCCCCTCCACACCGCGCTAAATTAACCCCTGAGACGCGCGCGGCTGCTGGGGATAATGAAGTTTCAGAAGAAGAAAGGAAAACATCGTGGCAGCACCGACGCCCCTTTGAACAAACAAACAGCAAATACCGCACCAGTGCGCAGGCATAACGGGGGTGGGGAGCTTTGGTCTTCAGGGTTTAATGGGGGGGGGG